GAAAAAACTGGAAAAACATGAAGTAAATCGCACTTTTTGCGATTAATGAGTAAAGTAAAATCAAATTTGGGTTGATCTCGTTGGCCGTGTGCAGAGAGTTTTTCCACCTGTCTGCACACGTTATTTCTAAACAATCTAAATTTAAGTAAGATCTACTCATTTCCATTAGAATTAGGGCTAAACAATATATAGCGAACTAGATTGTAACTTGCTGTTTACTCAATTTTGGGGGATATGAGTAGATCCTAGTTGTTTAGAAATAGCGTGCATCCTGCATTGTTTTGTTCAGGATAGTGTATCTGACGCTTTAAACCTTGGTCTCTATATATTATATAATATATATAATATTCACAAGGAGGATAGTGTAACTGACGCTTTAAACCTTTATATTTTATCACCCTCATTTTTAAAAATCGCTATTAGAACTGGTACATCGTGAATCTCTCACCGATCAGCTCCTGCCGAGTTCACGGGTAAACTTATGTTAATCTGCTGAAAAAAATTGACATAACAGCGTGGTCCTGTTCACTCAAAAAAAATTCAAATCTAAATAGTATAAAAGCTACGCTAAATCGCAACTCTCCCGATTCTCCCATAGCGTGGACTAAAGGGATAGAGTACATGCTTAGTATAAAAATGCTTTATGCACTCAAATGTATAAAGTGGGAATATTAGAATGATGTATAAAGTCTGTTTATTGGTCAGGGTGCGTTTTTGATTGCTGAAGTTACTGATGTTGAAAAAAGGTAAACAATAGTTTTCTTTTTCTTTTTTTAATCTCTATTAGAGATGTAAAGAAACGATTCGGAAATTATAGTTACTACACGCAAACCAAAAATCTATTACAATTAATGTTAGTTCCGTTTCCTATCATACTCTGTTCATGAACATCGCAACGAATGTTAGCAATTGACCATGCAGGCGATGTAATGGTTTTTTGTCTTTTTTTATTTCGTGTTCCATCTACGGTTTCGACTATACCAGTAAGCTTGTAGAACGACGCACATTGTAGAACATTGTAGAACGACGCACACACTTAACTCGAATCTCTCCAGCAGAAAAAGCATACGAAGTCGAGCATGCGAGAAAATGAGCGCTTCATCTTTGCTTTTAGGCTATCTATATTCAGAAGCATGGAGAGAGCAGTGGAAAAAGCACAGGTCTGATAGTCGCAACGTCCGTGGTTCGAGTTCAGTCGGCAACCTTTTTTCTATTTTTTTCGACATAATTAATTTCACTCACTAATACAACTCCACATTTTTCGGTCTCCAATTTTCTTACATCGGACCGCAGCTAGGTATATCGCATCCTCGGTTCATGCGGTCTCCACTTACATCCTCTGATGATGAATCCCACATAATTGTAAGCGAATCTTACATCCACCGGTTGGGTGTATAATTTTATTTTTTACTTTAATTTATTTGTGATCTGCTGCTGTGCTTGGGGTGGTGATGGACTATGGCTGCTGGGTAACGATCTGAATACATTTTGGGCTGCTGGGTAACGATCTGAACACATTTTGAGCAGAAACCTACTTACCCACCAATTCACCCGAAACTTCCTCCCCCAGGTCTTCAAACACTTTGTTCATCCTGAAAATAGATGCATTACAAATTACATCATATCAATGATGTTATTTTACCGAATACATACTTGTAGCCTATTTATTTTTCTTTGACATTCAAAAATAAAATACACTGGACGAATTTCATCTTTATTCAAACTTAGTATAATTTTGAAAGTGAAAAGTAATCAGACCATTGTATAAATATTGCTTAACCATAAAATGATTAAATTTTAATCTTTCTAAGTTTATTAATATTGTTGAGTGTTTACTGTAAATGAATACCGGAATAATGCTCGCGTAACATTTGAACAGGTGCTATCAACTTTTTTAAACAGCTTGCTACACTGTTAAAGATCGACACATTTTTATTGGTAATTTTCCATGTTAAATATCACATGATTTTCATGTGTCCACACATAAACAGAATCCACCCAGAAGTACACATGATATTTATGAGTCAAATGAATAGTATGTGTGGTTACACATGAATTTGCTGAGCACACATAAGAACTATTTGTCCGACATATGTAGATATATATCATTTGTTTATCACATTGCAAAAAATCATGTGTGGGACAGATAAAAATTCATATTGTATTTTTATTAGTGTAGGCCCTTTTCACAAGAACCGATGTACACCCTACCCGATGGTGTTGTAAGTTTGCGTAGACGTATTCGGTTCACGTGAAAAGGGCTTAACAAGTTGTGTGTACAAAAGTTGATAGGCTCGTCTCAAATGTTACGCGAGAATTATTCATGTGTTCATTTTAAGAAAACAGGGGCCCGCTGTTGTGTCACTTTTTATCGAGTGAGTGAACTCAAATCCATCCGTGCACTCCTCTATTAGGTACTGTAGCGTGACGTCACAAATGAACTCAGTGTTAATCGGCTGAACCTTTTTGACAGTTCAGTGGTACTGTTTAAATACAAGCACTTAGTCGTTTTTTCAAAAAAAAAAAAAATTCTAAAATTTCCGAATTTTAACTTGAAAATTGTCGAGGAACAGCGCATTGTAAGGATGTTGCTCGTGAACATTGCAGAAATGTGGTTTACATCTCACTGCAGTCTGAAAAATTATCGAGAAAATCCACCCAAGAAAAAATCGGCTAAGTCCACGTAAACAAAACCAATAAACTGTCATCAGATTGAGGTTAACCCCGACGGTGCAAAACCTAATTCGGGGTGCCGTAGGCAGTGATGCCACAATTGTTCGAATTTAACTCGCGTAACATTTGAAAAGGACCTATCCTCGTTGATCGATTCTTTTCATCGACTTTCTCTTTGATTAACCACGGCAACATAAATGAATTTCTCGCTAAGCTCACAAGACAGTTCGACAGAAGATGATGTTAGCTTTATAGTCGCTATATTCATAGCATGCCGGATAGAATCTCGCGAACAAATTGAGCTGTCAAATATCTGTTTGACCAATTCAGCTGTCAAATCACGACCAACAACAGAAAAGAGCACATCAGCTATTGCGAACAAAACTTTCGGAACCCGTTTTCTCGTGTCTTAAGGCTCGCCTACGCAAACTAACACCATCTTTGGGGAAAATTTCCTCTATCCGATGAAGCCGGTAATTTGCGTTCGATTGGCGAGGAAAGAATAATCAACGGTTTGTTTATAAAACTTGAAAGTACCATTTCAATTGTTGATCTACAATTTACCCCTTTAACTTTGGGTAAGCCGTGAGTATTCGACCCAACTCCTATTTACTAGACATAGAATTGAGTGAATTTAGTTACAAACGAAGAACAATGAATTATCGGTTTCGTAAAGCTAACTTGATTGAGCCTTTCGAATAAACGAACTTGATTTAAAAAAAATCTTCTTAATCATAAGCCTAACATAATTCAATCATTTGTCATTAATCATAATGGTTGGAAATGTACAAATCACTTATTAATCATTCATCAGTGAAGCAAATTCTCAAACCACGCAGCACTGCTTTCATGGGTTCTCTTAATTCATCTTAATAATAGATAAACAATGAGAAAGAAAAACCAACATCACTTTTAATGAGCAATCAGAAATCAGAACTTCTGGATTTTAGAAGACCGTTTAAAATTTAACAAAGATAATAAAATTAAATAACATTATATTTAATGAAAAATGCGATTTGGGTTTGGTGCTCGTAGCTGCTCAAATGGAAGAAACGATTATTTTTCTGAATGAATAATCATAATCAAAAGATAAAAATATATTCCGCTAATCTGAAAAATCCCTGTACGATTTTGTTTAAATCTGGAATCTGTATAAATAGATAGGGGGAATGACGGCTTCGGCATGACAGACTATTTTCGGCAACCGAAATTGAAACGCTAATTTCACTGGATTTTCTTAGGAAAACACTTCGCTGAATGCATTCAAACGATTCTTTAGGCCTTCAGCTTCAGGATTTCCTGGAAATGAAACACACGTACTACAAAATGCTACCGATTTAGAGTTGCCGATGGAAGCACAGCAGCTCAAATAGAATAGCACAATGGTTGCTCTCACTAGAGAAGATTGGAGCTTTGTAAAAGCGTTTCAAAACAGTTTTTGACAATTCTTTCGACTGAAATTGTTAGAGCAGCTGGCAGCAAAAGATTGTAAACAAACCAATACTACATATGTGTGCGTTCCTGGTTAAATTTGTCAAATTTTGTAGATATTTTTGTGTGTCCAATTATAGTAATATGACGGCAGTCTTGAACGGGTACGTTTTTGAATAGTGCAATTGCGTTGAAGCTTAAATTTAAACAAATTTCAGAACTTTCAAGTAGTTTGAAAAAAAAAATCTCCTACACAACATTGCAAACGGTTGTAAACAATGTGCTACAAATTGCAACCATTAAATTAAATCCATCACAGTCTGGATTCTTCGCTTTATCCAAACAGCGAACGTAATCATTCATCTCATAAATTTGCAAAACGCACAATAAGAGCAATACACTGCAACCATAACGACGACTGCCTCCATCGATTAAGATCTGAGGTTCTAGGAATCGAGATCGCCTAATTAGGGGACCATGCCTTACACTGCCAACGAGAAAAATCTGCATCATCTACCACACCGATGAAGATCCCAGCAAACACAACCGGCACAAACCACATCATTTAGACGCGCACGCCGCCGTCGCCACCAAGTTGATATTCACTCAAGCGAGCGCTCTTGATGACGCGACTAAATCGACCGTAACGCAGTTTTCAGCTGCAAGCGAGCGGGAGCCACACACGTGCTTAGACGTGGCGGCATAACGCGGCCACACGCGACCAGCCACCATCACCAGTCCATCAAAATCGAGAAAACGTGAACGCTCATGAATTGGAGATATTTATTCTGTCATTTGTAAAACCCGGCCCGGCATTGTTGGATTTTATGACCCGCTTAGAGTGTTGTAGAGTGACGTTTTCTCACTTGTGCCCCTTCCTTAATGCATATTTATAGGTAAACCGACCGATGACGATGAAGAAGGAAGGCATCCAAACCCGGAACCGGAAGCTGTCGTCCAAATCGAAGAAGAAGAAGGGAATGCACGGATCGTGTCTTCCTTTGGGCAGCCACCTGGGGGACCTGATGAAACCACTGGACCACAACAAATCCTTCCCGGGAGGGTTCCCCGGATCGATGGGTAAGTTTCGCTGGAAAAGAGTTAATTACTACAAATCATCGATCCATCTCTTTCCATTGAACACAGGTCAGCACGGTCACCTATCGAGTGGGTTGCATCCGGCTCATACGCACATGCACGGAGGATGGTACACTACCGGTATGGGAGCCCTCGGAACGTCCAGCAGCTTGCAGAGCGGGTTTGGAAGTGCCGGTTCACTAGGCGGCGGCGTCGTACCTCACTCGCAATCCTACCACCTGGGACTCAATTCAATGGTAGGTTTTCCACTGAACCCAACAAATCGCGAAATCTTTAACCGTAAACCGATTCCATTATCTTTCCCCTTGAACAGAGTTGGCGCTCAGAGTACACGTGATGGAACAGTAGTAATTTCAACACCAACCTGTTTGAGTTCAGCGCGTCCCCAAAGTTGCAACATCACCCCCATCACCACCACCATCAGCAGCACCAGCAGCACCAGCAGCAGCAGCAACAACAGCATCTTCTGCAGGACGATCAACAGCATTTCCATTCGCACAGTGCCGCAGCAGCGGCAGCACTGTTCGATCATCATCACCATCACCATCATGCCCATCCGCATCTTCATCAGCATGTTCCTCCGCTGGGAAGTGGTGGAAGCGCCACGAGCAGTCAAGATCAGGAACTGCACAGTCAGCAGCATCAACTGCAGCTGGCAGCGGCTGCGGCTGCGGCGGCAAGTCAAGTACAAATTTAGGGCGGTCCATGGGTTCCATATGGCACACATACACACTCTGTGTGAAAAGGTAATTAGGTTTTGTGTTTGATTGAGCTAACGGCTTAAACAAAGTTTCGGTTTTTTTTTATTCTCGTAATGAGGCTTAGGAAATTTAACATTTAAAAAAGTCTAGTCATGTCAGCTGTGAAAAATTCACTACTTATGGAGGATCATCTGGAATTTGTGTAATTTGATCGTGATAGGTTTGACCATGTAACGGAAGTGTCAATGGTAGAGTGAGAAGAAATAATTTTCAATCCATAAACTTCGTAAATAACTAAGAGAGTTCAACGGGATTTTTGAAGAATTGTTGATTTTTAATCAAAGGTCGAATCAAGTATGACGCCCATCAGATTTACGACTTTTTTAATCTATTTTTAGGACACCTTCTTCCCCCAAAACAAAGAGTAGTCGTCATATTTGAATCGCCCCCAAAATGAATTTAGATGAGTCCATTCGGATTGGTTGGGAAAACTTCAATTATGTTTTATGAGGAACCCCAATCGGCATTTTCATGGAACCCAAAACCAGGGGAAGGTGAAACATCGAACAATCAAGGTGCTTATTGAATCCTAAGCAAAATACTACATGAACAAGGTTTGAACGCATGAGCGAACAAATTAAGCTTGAGTGGTTCACAGCTATCGCTCACCTCGATTGAAACAAATTGCTTTGGCTAACTTTTAACCATTAACATGAGCACTCAATGTGTAAAACATATCCCACATATGGTTAGCTACCCCATTTTTGGCCTATTAAGCACAACCCGCACTTAGCTTTTCTTAATCTAGCGTACCAGCACCAAACAGAATGTTATTGATATTGAAGGCTTCCAAATTTATTTACCTTTCGGTACGTACCGTAAGATTTTGTAAAGAGAAACAAATTGTTGGAATACTGTTAAAAGTCTAACACTGCTTCTTGACGCCAAACTCGGTCTACGGATTCTAAACTCGGCCTAACGCATTAAAACGCCATTGAAACGCCAATGAGTTTACTTCGGCCTATCGGATGAAGTTAAAGATTGATTGGGTCGGAGCGCTTCATATGTTTTTGAGAATATTGGGTGCAAACGTTCATATCACGCGTTCTTATTGACTGCATTCGGTAGCATTTGAACTAAAGTATCGTACCAAACGCATAATTTACCTGTTAACATCGAAATATTGGATTTATTTGATGTTTTCTGCTTGATAGGTCCAAAATGGGCGCTTAGGCCGATGTAGTTCTCTACCCTATTTATTACCGTTCACTTGAAATACTGTACTTACGCGTACGCTAGATCCCAGATTGATAAGTTTCATTCACTTCGGTGACACAAACGTCTTCACATGATGACAGCAGAGTCAGAGAGAAGTAACTTCGAACGGACAAAAGGTCGAAGGTATAAAAGGTCGTAGGTACAAAAGGTCGAAGGTACAAAAGGTCGAAGGTACAAAAGGTCGAATGTACAAAACGTCGAAGGTACAAAAGGTCGAAGGTACAAAAGGTCGAATGTGTATTTTGCCCATTCGACCTTTTGTCCTTTGACCTTTTATCCATTCGACTTTTTGTCCATTCAACCTTTTTTCATTCGACGTTTTTTCATTCGACGTTTTTTCATTCGACGTTTTTTCATTCGACGTTTTGTCTTTCAGCCATTTGTTCCACAATCATATTATTGGCAAGCAAAGAACGACAGTTTCAACAAAATCGTTTGGCACTGACAATTTCTTATGACTTCTCTTGGCAAAGCTTCTGAATTCCCCTGCTAGGACCTTCCGACTGCTTTAGGAATATTTTTCTGACCGTTCCAAGTAAGGCTCTTCCAATTTCCGTCAGCAGTTTCTTCCATCGTTCCGGGGAAGCTTGTTCCAGTTGTATTGCGATATTTCTTGCTACTTCTACCGGTAGATTATCCCAACTTCTCCTGGAGGTTCCTAACGAATTGCCCAAGAAGGACTTCTTTTGACATCCTGTGTGTTTTTCCAAACTTCCTCCGTAAAGATTTTATCGATTTGTTCTTCTGACTTCCCGATCTTCTGACTTACCCTGAAAGAGTTTTCTGAATTTCTCTGGAAGATTCTCCAAACGTTCTCCGGAAATTTGTTCCGACTAGCATTTCTTGGATGATTATCTTCCGACAGATTCTGACAGCTTCCTCAAAAAGTTTGTTCAAACTTCACCCGGAAATTTTTCCCAACTTACTTAAAAGCTCTTCCCGAACTCTAAAAAAGTTTCCATACATTTTCACTGGAAATTGCATTTGAGTTGTTGATAGTTTTTCATAGAGATAATTTACATGGAAATGTGTTTTCCTAGGAAATCGAACTATAGCTTCCAATTTCAAATCTTGGGTTGACTCAGTACCAGTAACTCCTGTTGCAAGACAGCGTTTCCCGTCTATTTCTTCCGTTCGTTCTAAAAGACAACGAGAAGTTGAAAATGAAGAAGCTGATGGTTCTTTGCATCGTCCATCGAAGCTTCTTTGCGGAACAGGCGCTTGTCCAGAGCCCAACCTTGTTGCAACAACTGCCAATCAAGAGACTGATACCAAATTCTGGCTGTACTTGTCGAACATTCATCCAGATGTCAGCGATGAAACGGTAACGTGTATGGTGCGCTCAAATTTGGGAACGAGTGATACCACTGTAATTAAAGGGTGATACGGTCAAAATTTGGTCAAGGGAAAACGCGTGTAAATCGGTGAAATCGTTTATTTAAAAAATCAAATTAAATTTTCAAGTTCAATTAGTATACAATTCAGGAAAAATATTCAGTTAGGCTTCCGCTTTTCCAAATCCGAATTGCCGGGCCTTACGCTTGAGCCCTGCCATCAGATTTTGTACAGCCACCTTGTCCACCTTCTTCGCCGCAGAAAGCCAGTTTGCCTTGAACTGCTGCTCGCCCTTAGCAGTTTTTTTTGGTCTTCTTTAGGTTCCGCTTGACAATAGCCCAGTATTTCTCAATTGGGCGGAGCTCTGGCGTGTTGGGAGGGTTCTTGTCCTTGGGAACCACCTGCACGTTGTTGGCGGCGTACCACTCCATGGCCTTTTTACCGTAATGGCAAGATGCCAAATCCGGCCAAAACAGTACGGAACAACCGTGTTTCTTCAGGAAAGGCAGCAGACGTTTATTCAAACACTCTTTCACGTAAATTTCTTGGTTGACAGTCCCGGAAGCTATGAAAATGCTGCTTTTCAAGCCACAGGTACAGATGGCTTGCCAAACCAGATATTTCTTTGCGAACTTTGACAGTTTCATGTGCTTGAAAACATCTGCTACCTTTCCCCTTCCTTTTGCCGTATAAAACTCCTGTCCCGGAAGCTGCTTGTAGTCGGCTTTGACGTAGGTTTCGTCGTCCATTACCACGCAGTCAAACTTCGTCAGCATCGTCGTGTACAGCCTCCGGGATCGCGCTTTGGCCGTCGTATTTTGTTTATCATCGCGATTTGGAGTCACTACCTTCTTGTAAGTCGATAGTCCGGCTCGTTTTTTGGCTCGATGCACGGTTGTAGACGATACACCCAGCTTATTTGCGGCATCTCGGAGAGAGAGGTTAGGGTTTCGCTTGAAAGTACCGGCAACTCTCTTTGTCGTCTCAGCGGCTTCCGGTTTTCGATTTCCCCCCGATCCAGACTTCCTGGCTGTCGACAAACGTTCCCCAAACACTTTAATTACATTTGTAACGGTTGATTTGGCAACTTTTAGCGATTTTGCCAACTTTGCGTGCGAGTAGCTCGGATTTTCGCGATGCGCGAGCAAAATTTTGATACGCTGCTCTTCTTGCTTGGACGGCATTTTGACAACTGAAGAGTGAATTCCAAAATCAAAATAGGAGCAACATTCTACACACACACACCTTCAAAATGAGGGGTGTTCAGGTTTTTTAAATGCAAAATTGAAAGAAATACGTCAAGTTGATATTGACCAAATTTTGACCGTATCACTCTTTAAACTTGTTCCTCGTGACAAAGACGTACGTTCCCTAACTTTCGTGTCCTACAAAGTTGGGATGGCAGCGGATCTGAAATCCAAAGCAATGTGTTTGGACACATGGCCCTCTGGCATAAGATTCCGGGAGTTCGAAGACACTGGTAAAAAACGGGATTTTTTAAAGCCAGTCCTATTGAACCCACTACCATGGACAGCTTCCAAGACAGCGAATGCGAGCAAGTAGGCTCTTGCTATAGTCCCGCAAAACGGTTCAAGCACTTCATCGTCCGAATCTACCAGATGCGCTCCCCCTTACAATTTTTTACCAGAATGTCAGCGGATTAAGAACTAAAACTAGCGATCTTCGTTTGGCATTATCATCTTGTGACTATGACGTCATTGCGCTGACCGACACGTGGCTTGGCAGCGACATATGAAACTCTGAACTCTCGTCCGACTATGTGATTTATCGTCTCGATCGGAATCCAGCCACATCTCAACTGCTACGTGGTGGCGGCGTACTGATCAGTGTCAAAAAGCATTTACGTTGTAAGTTGGTTCCACTAGTTAATGCCAACTGTTTAGAGCAAGTGGCCGTGTGTGTTTCGTTGCCAATGCAGTTGGTCTACATATGTTGCGTTCACTTAAGGCCTAACTCGGACTGCGCCATGTACTCCAATCATGCATCTTGTGTTCAAGAATTGTGTGAGCTTGCTGAAACTACCGATACAGTCATAGTTTTGGGAGACTATAATCTGCCTAGATTATCATGGCAATTTGATGCCGACATGAATTCTTACATCCCGACCAACGCTTCATCTGAACAAGAAATCGCTTTGAACCAGTCGATCCTTGCATGTGGATTACAGCAGGTTCAGGATGTACGTAACGCAAACGAGAGATTACTTGACCTGGCTTTCGTTAGTGATACTGACAGAATCGAACTTTTCGAATCGACCTGTGGAATTTTAAAACTCGACGCTCATCCCAAATCTTTTATCATCAAATTTGACTACCTTCGTAATACTGACGATGTTGGGCTGGACCGCTGTTATTACGATTTTAACTTCTGCAATGAACCCCTTATCAACGCCCGGATAGACTCGATAGACTGGACGACGTTTTTGACTGATTGTGACGTTGACGATGCTGTTTTCCGGTTTTATGGTGCCATTTTCAATATCATCCACGAATATACTCCTATTCGACGACATTGCCTCCATGTTCACTACAATCAACCATGGTGGACCACGGAACTTAGGAACCTCCGAAACAGGTTACGGAAAGCAAGGAAACGTCTTTTCAAATAACGGACTGAGGAAAACAGGCGATTACTTCACGACATGGAGGAGCACTACACCAGCCGGTTGAACACAGTTTTCCATGAATATGTATTGCGCATTGAGTCGGAGGCAAAGCGGGATCCATCGTCTTTTTGGACCTACGTGAAGAAACTTAGGCGGAATGGCGGTATACCACTCGATGTGTCGTATAAAGAAGCTCGTGCTGACTCCACGGAAGAAGCTTCTGATCTCTACGCAAAATTCTTCAAGGATGTTTTTTCGGCTACCCCTCCCGCTCATTCTCCGGATGATCGTCGTGACTGGATGAGCAGCATAGCTCATTACAACTTGCATTTGCCGCAGTTGGATGTATCTGTTGAAGAGATGATGAAAATTCTTTCATCTGTCGATCCTTCTAAAGGCCCTGGTCCAGACTGTTTGCCGCCATCGTTCATTAAGAAATTTTCTGCATCTCTCGCTTCACCTGTGTCGATTATCTTCAATCGTTTGCTAGTTAGTGGTGCTTTCCCCACAA